GTGCCCTCTGAGTCAGAGAGGAGGCCTCACCTCATCCCTGAAAAGACCTTCCTACGTCCACTTCTGCCTCCCCCACGCCATGCCCATCCAGCTCCCAGAGTCTGCATCTTAAAACAGACCGGATCACATGTCCTCTTCCCTGTAAACCAGCGGTTCTCAACCTTTTTTGGCCACGCCCCCCCAGACATCTCTAAAATCCTGATGTGTCCCCCCCACCCCCCCCGTGGCATAGAATTCTTATTATTCAAAAAGTGAGCTCCTGTTCACATAGAGGAAGCCTGAAAGGCCATTAACTTGGTCTAAACAAGATTCCAAAGAACATGGCATCCGTGAAAGAGAAAGATAAAAGAACGAAAGGGCAGCTGAAGTACGGAGGAAGACATCAAGAAATCGTTTAAAAAATAATAATAATAGGAAATATGTGAAAAAAGTACAAATAAAGCTTCAAAACATATTCTAGAGAACTGAAATGCATAGATATGTCACCATACCTATTTGTATACTGTATATGAGCCCCCTAGAACCATAAGAAATACAAAAAATTGTTAATAACTGTTAAAAACTGTTAATAACTCATTCTCAAATTACCCCTCCCCCTTAAAAATCAAATTGCACCCCCACCCCCATGAGGCATGTGTCCCACATTGGGAACCACTGCTTTCAACCATTATCTGGTTGCTTATTGCCCTTCAGATGTTGTCCAAACGCCTCACCATGACCTTCAAAACCTCGTGGTTTGACCTCCCTTGGCCTCTCTGAACCCCCGCCCTCCCCCACAATCCTCCCCCGGCCCCTCCAGTGGCACAGGCCCGCTCTTGGCCATGTTATTGTGCCTCCGGGCCTTTGCCCCTAGCGTGTGCTCTGTGTGGAGCATGGCTCTGTCTCCTGTGTGGTATGTTTCTCAAGTGTAAAGGTGACTGTTCCCATCTCAGAAGATGCTCCTCTAACCCAGCGATGGAGAACCTTTTGAGCTCGGTGTGCCAACATTTTGAAAAACCCTAACTTAACTCTGGTGCAGTGTCACATAGAGAAATTTTTTGATATTTGCAACCATAGTAAAACAAAGACTTTTATTTTTGATATTTATTTTATATATTGAAATGCCATTTTACAAAGAAAAATCAACCAAAAAAATGAGTTTGCGTGTCACCTCTGACATACGTGTCATAGGTTCGCCATCACTGCTCTAACCCTGCCTCAGTCATGGGTTAGGCCCTGGAGACCCTGCACCTTCTGCTTCTCATCCATAAACACATCATTACTTGTTCAGCCTCTGACTCCCTCTCTACACCGAGAGCTCTGTGGATGGAGGCAGAGACCATGTCATCATCCCCAGAACTTCACACAGAGCCTGGCATGCAGCAGGCAATCTACACTAATAAAAGAGAAAGATGCAAATTGACCGTACCTTTGTGACACCCACCAGCCAATCATGAGTGAGTATGCAAATTAACCCAACAAAGATGGCAGGTTAGTTTGCATACACAGGCGCTGATTGGCCGGGGATGGGCGGGATGCTTGCATGTCGCCGTGACACCACACCAGCTGCTCTGGGCCTCTGGGCAGTATGGGAAGGTGGAAAGGCGGCTTCAGCGGAGTGGTAACCAGGGGAAGGAAGGCCAATTCTTGCACGAATCGTCATGCATCGGGCCTCTAGTCAATAAATACAGGTGAACTGCCCAGATGTGTGGGTGCCAGAGAAGGGCTGGGTTGGCCGCTGCTCTCCCCAGCACAATGCCTTCCTTTATCAGCAGGGGTTCCCTTGGAAATGAAGGGGTGCATCAGTGAAGATTCTTTTGGCCGCAATTAACAAAATAAACGGTGGTAAGAATCATGGAGGTGGGTGTTTTCAGGCTGGTGGAGCATCTTAGGGACCCCATCAAGGACCCAGGCTTATTGCATCCTTGGCGGGTCGGCATGTTGTCTCATGTAGCAAGATGGCTGCTGTGGCTCCAGGCATCACATCTTCACGCAACTGTGTCTAAAGGTAAAGAGAAGGGGGCAGGGCTCTCTTCTTACACACCTCTCCTCGCCCGATCTCCTGAGTGGGGCAAAGCTTTCTTTCCTTTTCTTCTTTTTTAAAAAAAATATTTTATTGATTTCAGAGAGGAAGGGAGAGGGAAAGATAGAAACATCAATGATGAGAGAGAATCATAGATCAGCTGCCTTCTGCATGTCCCCTACTGGGGATCGAGCCACAACCCGAGCATGTGCCCTTGACTGGAATGGAACCTGGGACCTTCCCATCCACAGTCCAATGCTCTATCCACTGAGCAAAACCAGCTAGGGCTGGGGCAAAGCTTTCTTGAACCCTATAGAAAACATCCCTGGTGCCATTAACCCAGAACTGGGTGTATCACTCATGCAAGGGAGTGAAACCAAACATCTCGGCCTGTACCATGGGTGGTAGGTCTGACAGCAGAGAAAAAGGAAGCAAATAATGAAAGCACAGGCCACCAGCATCTGTCTCAGGGAAGGAGAGGAGGTGAGGCCTTCTGGTTAAAGATTGGGGTGCAAGAAGCCTTTGGGAAATAGGGTTCATGTTGAAGAGCTGAGGGCTGGGGTCCTGTGTACCTGGACCCTCCATAGCTCTTCTTTTATATCAGTTAGAGTTGCCATTTCTTTTTCGATCACCAGAGAGAAAACTTGACACAAATCGGTTTAAACATATAGGGGACTTGGCTTGTGTAAGTGAAGGTGGGCATCAGGTATGGTTTGATCCAGCAGCTCAAATGATGTCACCATGGACTCAGTTTCTCTGGGCCTTCTACTCAGTGCCAGGCCAATTCCAAATCTCCCCAAGAGAAAGGAGACAGTGGAAGTGATGCTGGGGGACACCACCAATGGCCATGACCCTTTGACCTCCCCGCACCCAAATCCTTCAATGACGCTGACACCCGCAGGCGGAGACTTTGGAAAAAGGCGTTTATTGGTGTGGTGGTTGGGAATGGAAGACAATGTGGGATGGGGCCCACGCCCCTGTCTGAGGTACAGTCACTGCCCTTGCCCCCCTGCCCCTGCTCTGTCCTCGACCCCCAACCCCCCCCAAACTCTGGGTGGTGTGGCTCAGGGTGGGTGTTTGCAGAGGGTCTCCTGGGAGTTGGAGCTGGTGACTCCATCTTGGTCCGGGCTCCGGATGTCGGGGTGGGGTATTCCTACAACCAGAGGCTACAGCCCCTCAGCGCCGCCTCCTGACAACGGTTGCCCACCCTCGGGGGAACCACAGCTGGTCACTGGTTTCAGCTGGAGCCAGGGGGCTATTGCTGGTCCATCGCTGGTGTGTGTGTGTGTGTGTGTACACGCGCGTGCGCAGTCAGGTCAGCCTTTGGGAGGTGCAGTTGGTGGAGAGGCAGCCAGGGAGGAGGAGACCAGCAGACCCATGGGTGTGGGCGGCTGCAGGGTCGCGGAGGGCAGCTGGTTGGCACTGCAGGTGGCCAAGGGGTGAGGGGTGGGGGCGGGCAAAGCGCTGAGGCAGACAGGTGCCCAGACACCAGCCTGACAGTTGGATGGAAGCACCGGTTGGCCCGGGAGGGGCCGAGAAAGTCCAGGGAGGGGAAGGTGGGAGGTCTCAGGCCGCCGAGCCAGGGATAGAGCCTGGGCTGCAGGCAGTTGGGGGTTGACAGCAGGGGGGACCCGGAGCCCAGATGGAGACCCCCCACCTGCTCCCAGAGGCTGAACGACAGCCTGACACCTCTCCCAGCTGCCAACCCGCCCAGGAGACACCTCTTCCGCGGGGAGGCGGGGACGGGGGTGTGCGTGCATACACTGGGAAAGCAGGGGCTAGGACAAGCTCCCCTCACAGCTTCTGCCCCGGAGCCCCCATACCTACCTCCAGCCCCGGGGGGGAGAGGCAGCAGGCTTGGGGCAGAGTGGACGTGGGGGTGTCGGGGAGGGAAGGTCGGAGCCCCCCTCCCCCACCCTGCCCACCCACTCCCATGCACACATACGGTACACACACGTGCAGGCGCACACGCACACGCGCACACCCACTACCCACATGCGATCCGGGTGCCAGCCTGAGCTAAGAGAGGGGTGGGAGTGGCGGGGGGGGTGAGTCACAATCAGAAACGTGAACGGTGGCGAGAATGGCTGTAGAAAGATGCATAATTTTGCGTTATCCCTCACAGTGATGGGTTCTCTAAAGATCTTGCTTCTCCCTCCTCCTCCTCCTTTCTTCTTCCTCGGTCGCCGAGAGCTCTTCCGCCCCTTCGAGACCCACGCCGCTTGCTCCCCCTTTTTTCTCTCTCGCTCTCGGCCTCGGGCCCCCGCAGGGGGAGGCGAGCTGCACTGTGTTCTTCCTACATCCTCCACCACAGCCAGCCCAGGGCAGAGAGGAGGGCCAGGGGCCCAGGGGGCCTCGGGGCTGAGTTCTCCAAGGAGCCTGGGCCTGGGGGAGGGGGAGAGAGAGAGAGAGAAAGAGAGAGAGAGAGAGAGAGTCACGGGAGGCAGCCTGGGAGGAGGAGGCCCTGCATGTCTCTCCTGAGTCCCCGAGGGTCTATTTGAGCCTTTCTGAGCCTTGCACTCTGTGTGACTGCTCTTTGGATTTTGTTTGGTTTTATATTGTTTTACATTGATTTGGGAGAGGGAGAGAGAGAAACACCAATCGGTTGCCTTCCTTCTGTGCCCTGACCAGGGATGGACCCACAATCTGGGCAGGTGCCTTGACTGGAAATGGAACCAGGGACCCTTGGGTGCATGGGAGGATGTTTTACCAACTTAGCCGGCCGGCCAGGGCGCTCTTCTGTGTTGAGTCTCAGCTCTCTTGGAGCATTTGTCTGTCTTATTTCCCCGTTTTTCTCACATTTCCCCCTCTTTTTCATCAGCCTGAGGCCCTCCGTGTCTGTCTTTCGGTCACACAGTTTCCGTCTATCCGGAACCGCCACCAGGCATCGTACAGGCAGCTAGTCCGAAACTGCCTTCTTGACCTCTGTCCCCCCAGACCGGCCCGGTCCTGCCCTGCCCCAGCCCCCACGACCTCTCCATTTAAATGCTTCATGGCTACCGTCCACCACCCAGAGGCTCAAGCCAACTTTGGAATCACCTGGCTTCTACTTACCGCTTCCCTCCACCTCCCAAAACATCCACCTCCAGCTCCCAGCCTGGATTACTGCAGTAGCCTCCTGTCTGCTCTCCTTGCCTCCATTTGCCCCCTCCACACACACACACACAAAGCCCATTCCTCGAATAGCAGTTAATGTGATTCTTTTGAGAAGCGTCAGCCACATGCCATCCCCCTGCTTAACAGCCTCCAGCAGCCTCGCCCTGAAGTAGAATAAAACCCGAAATCTTGACCATGGCCCAGGAGCCTGGCTCCCCCTTCCTCTGTAGCCTCAGGTCCCGAGATCACCCTGCTCAGGTCATGCTGGCCTCCTTGCAAGCTCTGTTCCCTGCCTGCAAAGCCCTTCCCGCAGGCCCAGGCCCAGCTGGCTGCTGCTTACCACTCGGGTCCCAGTTCAAAGGTTACCCCCCTTGCCCTAGTCAGTTTGGCTCAGTGGATAGAGCGTCAGCCTGGGGATGGATGGGTACCAGGTTAGATTCCAGTCAAGGGCATGTGCCCAGGTTGCAGGCTCCTCCCTGGCCTGGGCCCTGGTCGGGGCTCCTGCAGGAGGCAACCAATCGATGTGTCTCTCTCACCTCCATATTTCTCTGTCTTTCCCTCTCCCTTCTTCTCCCTCAAATCAATGGAAAAATATCCTTGGGTGAGGATTAAAAATAAAAGGTTACCTCCCTCCAGGAAGCTTCCTCTGATGAGTTCTCTAATGCTACCATCCCCAATCCTGTTATTTTTGGCTTAGTTATGTGTATGTGCGTTTGATTTTCATCTTATTGATGTGTCTACTTGTTTATTGCTTTTCTGCTACTACTAGACCATAAATTCTGTGAACCCCTACATCTTGTCTCCCACGCACTGCTGTGCCGCAGCGCCCAACGCCCAGAGAATCGATCATCATCAAAGGGATTGGTTTCTTGTTCGGTTATCTTGCTGGAGTCCCAGCGCCCTTCTCTTCCCGAAGATCTGAGTGAGTCTGGGGCGTTCAGGGCGCCTCCACCGCCCAGACCCCG